CCCTGAAGGGAGCTGTGTATTTGTCTGGTGTGTTGATACAAATCTGCATTTTGAACTCTTTGCTTCAGAAAGTGTATGAGAGTTTATTTCTCTCCATGGTATTCAGGTGTTTGTTATAACCTGAATGAGCTGCAGAAGATGTGTTTATAAGAGCTTCTTGTATAGCTTGAAAGAAGGACATTCAAGCATAATGAGTCCTATGGATGGTGGATCAATAACCAAAGTGAATGAGTTATGTGATAAGAAACTGATGTCCTAAATGATGTTGTAACAACAAGCTTGTTGGTTGTTGTCCTTGGCAGATGCCTGAGATTAGAATGTTTGATGCTACATTTAGAAGAGGCATTTTTGATTATATGGATTAGAATGAGAAGATTCTAATCTTGTCTACAGTAGTTTGTTTGATGATTGCATGACTACTATGTTGAAGACCCCACGTGTATCAGCAATTACTAGTGGAATGCAAAGGAGGAGTATTAGATAAAGTGATCTGATCTATATGCTTATGAGGAAGTGGTTTCTTTTGCTGCAAGTAACTCTAGATCTTGAGAAGCAAGCAAATTGAAGATTTTGTTTGACATATGAGTAATGTCAAAGCAAGTGTGCATGACATCTTGGTCATCCAAAGAGGTATGACAACATGTGTGGATTTGTAAGGCCATGTATCAGATGTCTTTGACAAAGTCAGAAGACCTGGATGTGCTCTCAAGGAGCTAGAGTATCTGGATCTGTAAGAATCAGGATTAATTTTACAGTATGTGGATGTGTTTAGCAGGTGTGTTGAACCGGGAGTGCGAAGTTTTTGTCCTCCACTATGAGAGTATGAAGTCTTTCATGTGATTTTATCTGGTGCTCGAGTGTTTGTCTTCGGCAGGAGCAGTGTTTATCTTTGACAGGGGGAGTTAAGTATTGATCTATGGATTGTTGCTGCAATGGTGCAGATTTTATGAAGCGCTTGATGTTCAAGCTTGTGAAGATTATATATCTCTTGTGAGGTTGTGATGTCAGACGAAGATGTCTTGACATTGTGTTCATGTTTCAGCTGAGCCTGACTGAAAATAGTATGCTTGGAATTCAATGGGAAGTTTTTTGTTTTGGAGCATTGTGGTTCTACTTATATCTTTTGTGCGTGCTTCTGATGGGTTCTTCCCTGGAACAATCTTATGCCCAGTGTCAGACAGGTTACATGGGTTAAGTGCCCATGATCTGCTTAGCTTTTGCGCTAATGTGTTGTTGGTTAGCTACTCACTTTTGTCATATTATGGCTACAAAGGGGGGAAATTTGTGTGTGATCTAACCATTATTCGTTGATGCTTTTAAGGGAAAGAATTTGTTAATACTTAGCAAATTTAGCAGGTTTTGTGCTTTGGACTGGACTTCTGTGAAGATTTGTCATGACATGTTGAGAATTTGGTATTCTATTGTTTGTTGTGTTGAGTAGCTTCCTCTAGCTGTTGCTCTGATATTTGTTGTACTGACTTCTGCTGCTGTGCCTCTGATTGTTTGTGTGTTTGAGTTTCTTTTCAAACTTGAGTTGTATTGCTGTTCATGTGTGGAAGAAGTACTAAGTTGTTTTTAGCCAAAATAAGTCAAAGGAGGAGATTGTTAATTCTCTGTTTTGTTGTGATTAACATTATGTTCGGTAAAACTAACTTAGCATAGACATGTTGAAATAAGATGTTCTATCAACTGGAGAAACATGTCGAACAAAGATGTCCTATGCAGAATCATTCGATATCGTGTCTGTGTACAACTAGACTTTCGAAAACTGTTAGTTTGTCACAGACGCAGAATATTATGCAATCCTATGTGGCGCTCAATTTAAAGATAAAAGATTCTATCCGTTTTCAAGGAGTATTCTCAGTTTCTAAATATGGAGATTTTTTTAGGAAACTAAATAATTGAAGTCCTAAATTTGTGGAGAATATCTTGGACGTTTTTAGCAGTTGTTTTGCTGTGTTTTGAAATGCAAATCCAGTCCAGAAAAAGGTTATAAATAGAAGATTCTAAATCTAAAGAAGACACGAGTCAAGTATGTAAAAGTTTATATATTAGGAATTCGTCTGTGAGACACTCTCTAGAAGAGTTGATTTGTGTTATTTGTGAGTCTCCCTAATATCATGTTGATAGAAGAGTAAGACTGATAGAAGAGTAAGACTGTTGTTAGTTGAGTTGTAACTATTAATCACTCATGAACTTTTAAGCATAGATTTGATTATTGTTCTTGGAGGAAGCTTGTAAGCAACTCCGAGTATTGTTCTTAGTCGAGTCTTTTAAGCAAGACTAAGTATTTGTGATTGAAGTGTAAACTTCGGTTTAGTTTTGGATTCAAGTTTTCGTGACTGTGATTTGTTTATAGACAACCCTGTGATTGAGATAGGTCTTTTATCACTGCGGTGGTTGGAAGTGGGATGACGATTTCTCATATCTAGGGAGAACCTAGATAGAAGTAGTATTGGGTAGTGATTAAGTGAGAAGTTGTAAAATTGAGACTAATTTAACTTTAAACTAATACTACTAATAGTGAACTTCCTTCCTGGCATGGTAGTCCCCAAAGTAGGTGTTGTTGTACATTGAACTGAGTTAACAATTCTGTATGTTCCTTTACTTTTCAGTATTATGTATGTTCACCTTACCTTGTATTTAATTCAGAGATCAGATATCTCGACATCTCTTAAGACATCTAAGATCTGCATACCAGAATTCCAATTTCTATTTTACTAACATTTGTTACAAAAGTAATAGATATAGTTACAAGTTTAATTTTCTCTAATACCCTTTCTAACATACACCCTACTAACAATATTCACCTTTTGTCCTTTAAGGGGAAAAGAAGGAAATGCCGCATGTAAGCTATCCTGTTTTCCCACGAGCTGTCAAATTTTGACATGCCTTCTTTTAGCTGGTAGCCCTTCCAACTTCTGAAAAACAACTTTAAACTCCTGCAACAGGGTTTGGAATGCTATTCTTTCCATTGCTGACCTCTTGCTGCACTTTTTGTTTGGTCTCCATTGACAAAAGTGATTTGCTTGCTCCCTAGTTCTTCTTTTTAATTTCTAAGCCTACCAGATTTGTTGAAAGTCAGATTCATCTTTCCCGCATTCCTTCCTTCTTTGTCCATACCTAATTTCTCCTCGGCCAGCAGAACCACATCCATCATTTCTGCCAAATCTTTGGGCAGCTCTAATTTTCTCCCTGAATCCATTAGAGAACATTCCTAAGATGACTTATGGATCTTGGATCTTCAAATGCACAGAAAGAGCTTCAAAACTCCTTTGAAATTCCCTCACTTTGTTGTCTTGTTTCAGCTCCAACATCATCTTCATCACATCGAAGCCAATGTGGGCTGAAACCTTCTAAGCAGGACATTCTAGACTTCGCACCAATTGGCTGCGGTAGTGCTTTCACTATTGCATCCATGCGAGGGCTTCTCTCTCCATTGCCATCAATGCAGCGTACAGTTTGTCCTCCCCAGGCAATTGCCTAAATAAAAAATAACGTTCAAAATTTTGATGCATCTTCTCCACTTAAAAGAGGTGATTCCACCTTGCGATGCCTTTTTGTCTAATTCACTCTGCATGGACGACTTGCAGTTCCAGGTCCGCCATTGTTATCCCCATAATTGTTTCCTCCTCTACGGTTACCAGTTTTGGGATTTGAAGTCGTCATTGGACATAAATCTGAATATTTTCTTATAAATATCAGTTTTGGAATATAAACTAAATAAGAATGTAATCTTATCATAATCTCAAAGTATACTAACAAATCATACTACCATAAATATCAATATTTCTATTTATGGTAATATGATCTTTTAGTATCCTATCGATTTTTTAAGTCAAATGATCGGATAAACTTTGACCCAAAAAGCCGCATCTCGACAAAAACACGTGACCAATCTATATAATTCTTGTATTTTTTCGATATGGTTTTTATCTCACGTCATATGGTTTAAATATCTGAGGTCTATAATATTAAATGATAAAGAAATAGAAGGAGATGTAAACTATAGAATTCAAAATGGAGGGAGTCTTAAGAGGTTTTATTTTATGTGACAAAAAAATATTACTTAAGTTAGAAGGAATTTTTTTATCGGACAATGTTGAATTGTTAAGAATCAACACGAAAAAGAATAAGATGTTCCGTTGGATGTGTATAACACTAGATAAAACTATAAATGACTGTATTAGAATGTATTAGAAAGTATTAGGGTAGCACTTGCAGCAAATAAGATGGTGAAAAATAGACTTATGTGATTTAGGTATATAGAAAATATATGTAGATTATATTGTAAAAGAGAGTAGATTAGACGAAGATGAGGCAAAAAACTAGAGGAAAAAGATCTAAAAAAAAATAAAAATAAAAAATAAAAATCTTAAGATTAATGAATTGGTTAGAATCATGATTTTTGATAGAATATTATGGTAACCAATTCCACTAAGTTACTGATTCCATCTAGTGCGATAAAATTTGTTGTTTGAATTATTGGACTTTTATCGTCAGAAAACAATGATGACTTTGACATATACTCCTTATATTCCTGTTTTATAAGTAAATTTTAATTCAACGAATCTAAAAGTTTAAATATATTATTTATTCAATGAATCTAAAAATCAAAATTTATTTATAAATAAGAATGGAGAGAATACTTATTATATACAAAAGGTAAAAGACTTTGACATAAAGATAGTGATAGTTATCAACAGAAACCTAAACACCGTTGCTAGTTATTTAAAATTGTACTATTTAACTTATTATGCAAATTTTGTTATTAAAGAAACTGATGTTAGTTATTTATTCTGTGTGACTGAAGCAGTATGCTTAGTCTATTCTACAAGTACATTTTCAATTTCTATGGTTAGTCTACGTGAGTAGTAGTATGTGTCGACATCTTAATTTACTATGAGACTTTCTTGATGAATATAAACAAAGTTTAAGAAAATGTAAACTAGTATAGAAAACAAATATGCTTATAAACATTATGGTTTTCTTCTCTGTAGGTAGCATGTTGGAGTAGCCATATTGGCGTGCCCTGGTGCTTGAAATGGGCTCCTCGGCGGGCCATGTTTGCAGCTGCCTCAACTGTTCTCACGTTTTGGATACCAAACAACGAACCAAAGCTGAAAGACGAGGATGCTTGCACAGACACTGAACCGGGACTTCAGCCCCAACATTGAACCAGCCAACCTTATGGTACATCAACAAATCAATCAAGGCCTTTTAACTTTTAGGATGAAACTTAGCTGGATCTTGTATATTGTAAATTCCATAAAATCTGACTCTATTAATTGGATGCTCTTTTAATAGTCAGACAAATTTATTTGCAATTTTTTAAATGGTGAGAGGTTGCCCTCTTCGAAAAATTATGGATAAATTGAAAACTTGGTCTTTTAAGAAATCGTTCATATGTAAGCAATTCAATAAGATACTGTCATTATATTCCCTTAACAGAGTGGAGTGAGGCATTTTAAGATCCTCATCCCAACAATGAGAAAGAAAGCTTTAAAGATAGTTCTTCATTGAGAGCTGTTTTCTTTTAGAGTCTTTATTCTTCACTCAAAAGATTCCTTATCCTGATTTTTTATCAGCTAGCATAAATGGCACATTATGAAATACACTATTGATCTAGTTTAAGAACCACATTGCAACCCCAATTTTATATAATGAGATATTACAAGAAATATGATTTTAATGTGATCAAATAATCTTAACTTTCTGTGTATGAAATAGAGAAGCTGGACTAAAAAGAGAGATTATTTATTACACCAACATATAACATATTGAAATAAAGAGTGATGACACCACTCATTTATGTCATAAAGCTTCGACGCCCCACGCCCTCTACTTAACCCAACAATATAACAAACACACAAACTTCACATACAAAACACAAACAATATAACACACAAACTTTACCTACAAAACACAAACAACATACTAACAAATACACAAACTTTACCTACAAAACACAAATGCAATATCACCACATGACATCACATTATTTATTATTTTCCCACTCGAACCCCAAAATCAAACCCAGAACCAAAACCCTTTCATTTTCTCATGCTGCTGCTGTTGTCCCTGTTGCTCCCGTAGTAGTTGTTGATGTTCGCTTGGATTCCTGAGCCTTTGCCTGTATATCCTGCTTGGATTCCTGAGCCTTTGACTGTATCTCTTGTCCAACTTCCTTCGTCTTCTGGCCTGCTTCCTTCGTCTTCTGGCCCACGTAACTTGCCATGTCCGCCAAATGATACTTGGCGGACTCGAGTTGCTCGGGCACAGTCCCTTGAGTCTGCCGGATGTAATTCACGACCCATGAGAAGGAAGAAAGAGCCGTCAGCCCAAAAGCTCCGGACGTCAAAAAACCGGCGACAGCCAACCCAATGATAATGGTGGCCGGAACAAGTATAGGACTGAAGAGGATGAAAAGCGGGGTTGTGAGCGCCAGTCCCGTGAGTGTTCCGAGAAGAGAGAGTCCAGCGAGTGCAAGCAGTATGCCACCTACAGGAAGGCCAGCAATGACGGCAAGCACTTGAGAGGTTGATGGAGTTTTGTCAGAATAGTGAGTAACTCTACCCTCATGAGAATGAGGGTATTGGGAGGTAAGACCCTCATATCGGTGTTGAGGGGTGTCGTAAGATCTAGCCTCATATCGCTGTTGAGGGGTAACAGCGGTGTCGTAAGATCTACCTTGTTGAGGGGTAACAGCGGTGTCGTAAGTACTTCGTGTTGTTGTGTGCACTAGGACTTGGTGTGGTGTTGCACGTTCCGTCATTGTTGATGTGTTGCTCGCTCAAGTTTGGATTAAATTACAAACCTGGTTTGACAAGAGAATTATTTGTGAATTGAAAGAATTGAAAAGAGGCAGTGTGATAATGAGGTTGGGGTGTTATATTTTTTTTTATAGAAAAAGTGATGTTATTATGTCATGACACGTACGGGTGACGTGGTGAGTAAGGAGGTTTGCATGAGGAACATGTATCAACAACTTGGCCTAGAGATTAAATGAAATGATGTCCGTTTTGTTTTGGATTTTTATACAGAAAAAGGCGAAACTATTTGCCAACTCATTCTGCGGACTTGCTGTGTTGCGGCCATGGTTTACTAGTATTTTTTTTAATAAAGGTTCACTAGTTTCGTTAGTAGCGAAAAAGTTAACTTTCCCCCCCCTTTGGTACTCCCCACCGTGGTGAAAAAGTTAATTTTTCTCTATTATTTGAATACGTACTTCCGAATATATCAAATACTCATAATTATAAGTTAGACGAGACATTCTATTTTTGTTAAAATATAATTTAGAGGTTAAAAATAATAAAACAGATCTGGTATGTTTATGTCTGTTTTATCCGTATATTTTTTAAAATAGATCAAAGTTTTAGACCTATACCTTATAATATGCATGTTTCATTTTTTATAAATTTTTGCGTGCACAGACATTAACATAAAAATTTATAATTTTTAGGCTTAAAATATGCAATGCCCGCGAGCCAGCTCCACACTTATTTTTTTTTGCGGGGCGAAACAATGTTTTAGGTTGGCACTCTCAACAAAGTCCGCCCCATTTTTCACGGGCTTTTGCGGGGTGGACCTAAACGGGGCGACATACTCATTTGCCACCCCTACTGGAAATGCATCTCCGTATGCGTAAAAGATGTGTCTGGAGATGCATCTCTGTACACACCATTAATTCAAGACAATAGGTGGTTTGAAGATGCATCTTCGGAAACTTTTATTTCATATACTCGCGTTAGACCCTTCCATTCTCTCTTCTTCCAATTTTCTAAAAAGTTCTCAAAAAAGACCATTTCAATTCTCACATCCATTCAAGGTTCGGATTCGTTCAAGCTTCTACTATCAGAGCTCTTTCTCATCCATTCAAGTTTCTCTTTCTCATCCATTTAATTTGTAACTTTTTCAAAATATTTCTTTCTTTGTGTTTTGATTGATTTTTTTAGAAAACATAAGTTGTTTTTACCAACATTAGATAGTAGAGGAATTAAAATAGATAGCTTAAATGGACATTCTACATCCTGAAAATAATAGACCCGATCGGGTAACGTAATCGGCAAGTAGAAAGACTAAACCAATAGTCGGCTCAGGACCAGGGTATCCGAGGTGCAACTCGGTTGAAGGAATAACATATGAGACATGGACCCGGGTAGCAACTTGTCACCATCATTGACCTGTATAAGATAGGTAGAAGGGAAGCACCTGCCCGAGACCGGTCATCTTCTCGGCTCATTAATGCTTGTAACCTCCAGCAGCGCAATCATTACGGTGTTATGCAGCATTGGTTCCTTCTTTCATGGGGACGATGCAGGTTATGAGAGTTATGAAACTCAAGAGTCACTCATTATTGATGCTCTTAATGAGGCAAAGATACGTACTATATAAAGGGGCTCCCGATAGAGGGGTAAACAAGACATTTATCTTGGGACGCACGCATTACTGCTGTCACTTCCAAATCTCCCAATCATCTCATAAACTCACTCTGATAGGCACTCCCTAGCAACCTCTTGGGAAGTCGATCGAATATTTGTTCTACACAAGAATATTGGCGCCCACTGTGGGGCCTTTGTAAAATTATTCCAAAGCCACACCTCAATTTACCTTTTGCAGAATGTCTCCACCTAGAGACCCCCCAGACATGGCACAACTACTAGCCATGGTGAGACCCTCAGACAACATAACGAAACTCTGCAGGACAGTGTCACAAACCTACAACAAAGAAACATAGGGGAGCTTCTAGAACTTCAACTTTCTCAAGCTACTTGAGACGACCAAGTCCTAGAGAATTTCAAATCACCATCGTTGACAGCCTAAAACGGAAAAATCGATCCTAAGGAGCATGTCATCATCATCAACAACCAAATGGAGATAATGGCTCTACCGACTCATTAAAATGTAAACTGATGGCCAAAATCTTCAAGGACGTGTCTCTGCGATGGTACATGAGCCTGTCACGACTCTCCGTGGAAAGCTATGTGGACCTGACAAAGAATTTAATCCAACACTTCTCTGCCAACAAGCACTGCAAGGTGTCTACGACGTCCTTGTTCAATGTCTGACAATGTCAAGCAAAGTCTCTCCGGGAATACGTAGCCCTGTTCAACCAATAAACTATCAAGATGTCTCATCCAAACCAAGAGCTATTCGTTGGAGCGTTCCAACACGGCCTCCGAGCATGACAATTTAATGAATCCTTAGCCCAGAAGCCCGCATTTGACATGAACAAAATCATCATCAGGGCGGACTGCTACATTATGGGTGAGGAAAACAACCTGGAAAAATAAGACCAAAAAAGAAGGATCAGGCAGGAAACAAGAGTTTTCTCGGGCAACCTTAAGAGATAGGCCCCGGGAAAGAACCACTCAGAGACCTAATCGACGTCCCTTTGACTCAGGCGACGTGGGGACACCCTTAAACACAAGGAGAGGCGAGATCTTGCAAGAGGTAGCACACCTAAACCTGATCTCGGAGGTTCCCCATAGATGGAAAGTCGATGTTATGTTGGGGAATGACGTCGGGGCCTGGTGTAATTATCACCGGCTCTGGGGATATCATAATGACGATTGCTTCCAACTAAAGAAGGAGATCGAGAAATTGATACAAAGGGGGCACTTGCTAATATATGTCAAAGACGGAAAAATTCCAGCTGACAAAAGAGATACTCGGCAAAAGGACATGGACCCAGAGGATCCTTCTCAAAAGAAGAGGAAGAGTATTGAAGAAGTGCACAAGACCAAGACAACTCACCACACCCTCAACACCATCGTCGTCGGGTTCGCTGGCTGCGACGAGACCAGCTCAGCCAGAAAGAAGTATACCCACACCGTGGTGCACATATCTGAGGACATAGTCAAGGTCCGAGAACATGACTTCAACCTGGTCAGCTTCTCCAGGAGGGATGCGATCAGTATTATGGCCCACGAAAACGATCCTATGGTTATCAAGGTACAAATCCGAGACTGAAGCGTGAAAAGGGCGCTGGTGGACCCCAGTAGCTCAGCCAATGTACTCTATTGGGAAGCTTTCAAGGGGATATAATTTGATACGTCTGAACTATTACCTTTCAGTGACACCTTGGTCGGGTTCTCTGGAGAACAAGTACAAGTATTGTGACACCTCTTAGTACTCACTACCTCTGGAAGCGACGCAAATGCTAAAATAATTAGAGTAAGGTACTTGGTCGTCAATGTTGTCTCACCATATATTGTCATCATAGGAAGACCCTCCTTTAATTCCCTGGAAGCCGCTCTATCCACCCTGTACCTCACTATGAAATACCCCCTGGGGGAAGGCCAGGTTGGGGTGGTTAAAAGTGTTCAAGGACTGGCCAGGAAATACTATAAGGATAGCCTGAAGTTAAAGAAGAAAGTACAATCTGAAGAATCTGGATGATCCAATGAGCTAAGATCAACATGATTGATATAGATCCTCAGGATGACACGCGAGCATAAATCCTTTCTCCCCATGATGAAATAAAAAGGGTCCAGATTGGCGCCACACCCTCCGAGGTAACTTACATAGGATGCAATCTTTCCCGAGAGAAATAAAGAGAGATCGTGGAGCTATTGAAAGAAAACATAGAATTGTTTGCTTGGAAGCCTTTGTATATGCCTGTGATAGACCTCAACTTCATGTGCCACTACTTAGCCTTGAATCCGGATACCAAACCGGTATCTCAGAGAAATAGGAAAGGTGGACACGAGAAGAAGAAGGCAATAAAAGACGAGGTTGAAAAGTTACTTGAAGCCGAGTTCATCAAAGAAGTTAAGTATCCTATATGGCTGACCAATGTGGTAATGGTAAAAAATAAAATAAGAAAGTGGAGCATGTGCGTTGACTTCACGGATCTCAACAAAGCATGTCCCAAAGATTCATATCCATTTCCGCAAATAGATAAATTCATTGATGAAACCTCAGGGTATAGACTCCTCAGCTTCATAGATGCCTACTCAGGGTATAATCAAATACATATGAGCCCGACAGATGCATAAAAGAATTCCTTCATGACAAACTGGAGAAACTACTTTTACAAGGTGATGTCGTTTGGTCTCAAGAACGTAGGAGCCACCTACTAGCGGTTAATAGATAAGGTATTCACCACTTAAATCGGCAGGAACCTAGAGGTATACATAGACAACATGGTCGTCAAAACCACTGTTGGAAAATGACATGTAACAAACTTGAAAGAAACTTTAGCATCCATAAGACAATACGACATGAGACTCAACCCAGACAAATGTATCTTTGGGGTTCAAGCCGACAAGTTCCTAGAGTTCATGCTCAGTAACCGTGGGATAGAAGCCAATCTGGGTAAGTGTCAGGCGATCATAGACATGCGAAACCCGTCTTCAAAAAAGGAGGTACAACAGCTAACATGAAGATTAGTCACTTTGTCCCGATTCTTATCATACTCCGAGGACAGGGCAATCCACTTCTTTATAGCCCTCAAGAAGTATGAGGAATTTGAATGGATGACAACATGTGGAGAGGCCTTTCAAAGAGTAAAATGCTTCTTGTCCTCTCCGCTGATCCTGACGAGACTGAAAGAAAATGTACCTTTGACCCTACATCTATCGGTTTTTGAGAAAGCTATGAGCTCAGTACTCGTCCAGGAAGGGGAAGAGGGAGAAAGGTCGGTGTACTTCGTTAGCAAGGTTATGAAAGGAGCCGAGTTGCGATACCAGAAGATTGAGAAGCTGGTACTAGCATTGATAATAATAGCCCGAAAGTTAAGACATTACTTCCAGGGTCATCCAATAACCACGA